CTTATCAGTAGTTAAAAATAAGTTTGATTGTTCACAAGAACATATTTGAAATAATAATAAAAACATATTCTGTAGTTAAGCCATTTGATTTTACAAATGAAAGTAATATGTTGCACTGACAGCATTTTATGGATAATTTAATTAGATTGTGAGCCTCCGGATCTTGAATGTCCACCAAGCCAAAACGTAACAGGTGATGAGAACTGCTTGGCAAATGTCACCTGGACAGCACCCAATGTTACAGACAACTCTGGAGACTCTTTCACACCAGTATGTGATCATATAGGAAGCACATTTTATGATGTCAGCACTGTTGTAACATGTAATGCCACTGACAATTATGATAACACCGGCAATTGTACATTTACCATTACTATTTATGGTAAGTCATATTCTGATTGACGTATAATTATTATTATAAGTCAATCTTGACGTCATCACTGCAACGCCCAATGTTATTTGCCTATTCCCCACCGTCCACTAATTTTTCAGTTAGTGGACGCTTGACTTGATTTTTTTAGGTTCGTGTGGAAAAAAAAAAATCCTCATTTCTTCATCACCTCGAAGACATTGTGCACCGCGATAAAAAATGAATTGTAATTGAAAATTACTTTCGTGAAACATGGTTAACCGAAGAAAGTTACTTTAAATTCAATATTAAGTATGAACAATTCAGCAATTCCTTGAATCAATGAACCCTAATAATCTGAACAAACTGAATGAGACTCAAGGAACGAAATTGGATGTAGATCTGCCGGGGCCTCCTCCTACTACTAGCCTAGGCCGTATAGCCTAGCGTAGTTATGAAATCATCCCAAGATTTTTACCTGACTGCACCAACCAAAAGTTAGTGACAGTAACTGTATTCTTTCTCAAATGCTTTGAAAAATGTTTATTTCTTTGACGAATGTGAAAGATTACAAACAAGTTCTTCTAACACAATACAAATTACAAAATAGCCTAGGCCTAGTTATTCATCGTATCCGTACAGTAATGCTGATGTGTAGTTAAATGTGTAGGCGCTGCCTACTCAGGAGCACAAATCAGCATACACACAAAATATAAATATGCACACAGTATACTGATCATATCACTATAGCAACCGATGACAGGTACAACACAGTTGGTTATAAGAACTAACATTAAAAGACTGCGATTGACTTATAAAGCAATTAGTGGAGCATGCATCATACACTAGCGGAAAATTATTATACTTGAGTTAGATTTAATGCATTCAAAAATTTCCTTTGGGCCTTGCAGGACCCCAGGAAATGTTTCAAGCATTAAATCTAACCTTCGTATAATAATTTTCCTATAGTGTACTATACGGAGCTCTACTAATTGCTTATTAACAAAATAAAATACATTGAGAAAGAGTTTATGAATTACATGTCTCCTTCTTATTAAAGACCCCTCCAATTAATGACCACTTATCTGAGGTTTCAAATTAACAAATGTCTTATCTCTTTATTAATCTAAATAACGACCAAAGCTGCTAAAGACCAGAGAAACACCGGTCCCAAAAGTGGTTTTTCATTGGAGGGAGATTTTTATTATTATTGTTATTATTATTAATTATTATTATTATTGTTATCAATATTATTATTAATAATAGCAAATGTAGGGTATTCTAATATTAAATAAAAAAATGAAAGATGAATTATTGTAAATTTTACAGTATTATTGGAATATTTACATTTATTTAGATAAAATTATGTTAATATTAGAAAATTATAAGTATATATTACGAAAATAATAATATACTCTATTTCAATCAATCAATAATTTTTTATTTAACCAGATGATGAAGATCCAGTCATAAATTGCCCAGCTGACATAGAAGTTTGTGCTGAAACTGGTTCTATGGCAGCATCTGTCACTTGGGAACTCATCAACGCAACTGACAACTGTTGTGACAATGTAAACATAACGTCAGATTACACATCAGGAGATGAATTTGAAATTGGTGAAAATGTAGTAACATACATAGCAACTGACTGTAGTGACAACTCAGCATTATGCAATTTTACTATAGTGGTGATTGGTAATGACAATATTTTATTGTGTTTGTTCAGAATTATTCAGTTATACCACTTAGAATTCGTTCATTATTTTCAAAATATTATTTTATTGATGTTCAGATTGCGAAGCTCCTGTTTTGAACTGTTCGCAAGATGTAGAATTTGATGCTGATGATAATTGTACTTCCAATGTAACTTGGACTGAAGTGACAGCAACAGATAATTACGATAGTGATGTAACTGTATTCTGTAACCCGACTGAAGGTATTTTTCCATTGGACAACTACACAGTAACCTGCAATGCAACAGACATGGCAGGAAACACTGGCAATTGCTCCTTCAATGTTTACATTTTTGGTATGTATTTTTTATGTGAATAATTAAAAATGTTATTTCCAAGTTGTATTATGCTACTAGACACAATGTTCCCGGGAACGCCCCCTAGCGAGAATGTGCGAAGCACTGTCGAATAAACAAATTAGCAACGGATCTCTTGTCAGTTACGTATCAACATTCAGCGGGATACTCAAAAACTACCTATGTCTCTTGTTTGAGATGTGAATTAGCTGTATTGCGCAGTATGTGGACATCGTTTTCTTTCTAGACTTTTCTATTAAATTGATGAATCCAAACATTGTAATTATTACTACCAAGCCAAAATGAAAACTAATGAAACTTGTTCTGACATCATTTTGATGGAATGTTCACTGAGATTCACACGGTTTGTAATTCATGATACTACGTCACATTCTTCACTTATAAGGGTGCTTACGCTCTGATTTCCTCTGCATACGTTACGTGTTACAAACAGTGGTATTTGGAAGTGAGTGGCTCTTTTTAGGATTTGAAAGGTGTTCACATGTTTTCCTAGTTTATGTTCAAATAATTTCATTTGGCTTCTTGTAAATATGTAGAGTGTAATTTTCTTTTTTTTTCTTTTTAAACTAAGCCAAAACAACGTAAATTACGTACCACAACGGTTTCGACCTTTATCAAAGGTCATCATCAGGTGAATGAACTAGACTAAGCTAGTTCATACCATCGGTAGATCTTCTCCGATGACGTGCGCCCTCTGTGTTGTTATGAGGTTTTCTCCGGGGGCCCCCGGGTTCTGTCTGTTGGTGTAGGAGGTCATCATAGATGTGTGATAGCTCGTATGCTCCTTCGTCCCTGTTCATGGTGTTGTTATTCCTTCTGATCCAGATGGCCTCTTTGATGGTGCGTTGTACTCTGGAAGATTCCTTCCCCAAGATCTTTGTGTTGTTCCAATCTGGTAAATGATTGTTTACTACCATGCGATCCGTGATAGCAGACTTATGGATCACCGTAGATGTTGAGGCACGGGCTGCTCTGGTACGGACACCTCCTGCTGTGTTAGTGATGACATCTGTTTTGTGTTCTGATAACCTAGTTTTGAATGGTCTTCTTATACACATCTTAGAATAATAAATATGTTTTATTATAACATAAGTACTGACTATATAACGT